TCGACACTATTTGAAGATAGGCTCTAATTTGATTGTTTAGAGGTCTCTAAACAATCAAGTTGGAGCCTATCTTCAAATAGTGCCGAGAAAAGTGGTTTCAATATTGGATATCTTTGTGATAGCCTTAAAATACATTCTCATATTTATTTATAAAGTTTAAAGCTTAAAAAATAGTGTAAAACGATAGATCTTTGAAAACTTGAAAATCTTGAAAATTAACGGTAAAAAAATAACAAAATACACTATTTTCAAAACTTTAAATCTATTTTTTTCTCATGTCTATGCATCTTGATGTTGAAATGATTAATTTGATGATATTTGGACATCAAAACAACCTCTTTTAATTAATTTTTTTGAGGTAGACTCAAATTTGATTGTTTAGAGCCTCGGCTCTATATAAACTTTTCTCTTTTATCTAATAAGTGCCTTCCCTCTCTCAAACTACACATGAAATCAATCACACACATGCATGCGCGCGTGCACACTCACGTCTACACATAAAAAGTATGATGAGTGAATTTTATTAATATGCTCCCTCGAGCTCTCTCCACTCAAGATTTTAAATATACAAAAGGTGAATTGTGAGTACTTTCGGAAAGGAGACATATTAATTAGTATGCACAAAATTCCTAGTTAGTGGAGCTCCCTTTAAAGCATGTAAAAAGGCAAACCACGCACTATTTTGGGGTCCAAGACAAACTTCATCATGAAACCACTCGTGGGGAGGATAGATTCCCATCACATCAAATAAACCCCATCACCAAGTGAGTTTGCATAGGAGTTTCAAAAGAAATTAATTCAATTAATTTCTCCTCACCACTTTAATTAACGACAAAAGTGAGTTTGGATAAGAGTTTCAAAAGGCATTATAGCGAAGATAATGATGTTGAGATGGATGAGGGACAAAATAAGAAAAAATAGAATTTTAAATAAATATATTATAAAAGTTTTAAACGTAGCACCAATAAGCGATTAGATGAAAAATAGTAGATTTAAGTAGGTTGGCTATGTGTAGCACAGACCAGTACAACATCTGTTAAGATTTACGAGTTAGTTCAAGTAAAAGATTTAAAAAAGACAAATAGTAGACTTAAAAAGACATGATTGATGATATCACTTTAATTAACCTCTCCCTCTCACTTTCCCCTTATTTCACTAGGGCTCTGGTCCTCAAGGGGCTTGCAACAGGCTATGCCGTGGGTCATGGTCCTAGCCTAGCCATGATCCCTATAGGATTTGTCCGAGCCCCGCCCAACTCTGAATGGCTAAAGAGGGCCTGGTCTAGGGCTTGTCAAGCCAAGCCTAATAGACCTAATGAAAAACAAAGGAAAAATAAAGAAGAGGGTTATGGTGGGTCGACATTTTGTGGCCTTAGTCTAGACTCGGGTTGGCCTGGTCCTCACGCCACTCCAATCCTAGTTTTTTAGACTCAAGCCGATTGGGCCTCAGCCCATTGCTAGCCCTAATGTCATAAATGGCGTCACTTCTCATTCCACTACACGCACTATTATGTAATTAACATTTCAAGATACCCATATTTCGCTATTTGCAAACTCAGAAACATGGTTGGTAATACATCCACTTGGGCTGCTAAATTTGGCCCATGGGCTAAGCCCCAACTTGAAATCTGGGATTGGTGGCTGAGTCAGCCTGGTTTGCTTTTCATTTTTTATCGGTATGTTTTATAGAAACTTATTTCTACTTGACTCGGCATGACACAACACAAGGTCAAGCCATCCATCTCATGAGCAATGCCAGGCCCCACTTTTGGGCCAAGGTTGAACCTCCGTGTTCTAGGATGCGCTCGGGCCGGCCCAAACCCGTTCGGCAAAAAATTCATTTCTACCTGATCTGACCGAGACCGACCCATAAACATAGCCAATCCAAGCCACCTATCCATGTGTGGAACTAGGCTCCAGGTTGTGCTACAGCTCACACTAAACCTTGAGGGTTTATGTTTAGCTTGGCCCAGCCCTAGCCTAGCCTCTTGCCACCACCCTCGCTTACAAATGGCTTGCCTATCTAGGGTTGGCAATTGGGACCCGTGGACTTGATGGGTAGATCCGACCCCAGGTCCAAGGGTTGGACGCGACAGCTCAGGTCCAGTTCCAACAACGTAGACCCATTTCGATTATGATTCCGCATCGAGGTAGTCCCTCCGTGCTGTAGTCCATCTCTTTGTTATTTAGTTAAGGAAAATGTTTATATAGAGTCTAGGATCTAAACAATCAAATAGAGCTTATCTCAAAAATCATACGGGGGGAAGAGGTTGTTTTGTTGCTCAAATATCTCAAATTTGATCATTTCGACATCAAGATGCATGAACATGAGAAAAAAATAGATTTCAAGATTGAAGCTTTAACTTTTATAATTAAAAATAAAATATATTTTAGGCTATCACAAAAATTTCCACTATTGAAACTACATTTCTCGACACTATTTGTAAGTGGGCTGTAATTAGTTAAATACAATTTTTTTAAAATGTAAAAATCGTTTTTCAAGTTTGATTTGGGTCCTCCATAATCAATTTGGGTTCGAGTCCCAGTCTGGACCCAACTCGGCACATTACCAACCCCATCTCTCCCATCTCTCGTAAAATCACATCACCACACCACTCATACGTGGTTTTATATATCCACCGCTCTCTCTTTCTCTCTTGTAGTCAAAGCTACCTATACACAAAATTGGAGCCTACTTTTATTCAGTGTTGAGAAATGTGCCAACACGGAAATCTTTGTGATGACCGATGATCCAATGCAATAATTGTATTGTAGTGTAATGCAACAATACTTTTTAAATTTTGCGCCCGCACTCTTTTCATCTCAATAATCAATCCCTTCAAAAAAAGATTCAATTTGAACTTTAGATATGGTCAAAATGAGTCATTTTTAAAAACAAATCTAGACCATTCATTTTGTGAATTTCAAGATCTTCGCCTTTATATACTCAAAATCATTTTTTAGTTTTTTTTTTAACATTGTTCATCTAATGATAATAAAGCCATCCAAAAAAATTGAGAAATAAAAAAATTCTTCTAAGACCTAGATCTAAGCATATCACCAAAATGAACGGTCTATATTAATTGGGCTAAAAAAATACTTTCTAAATTGTGTTTTCAATTCTTTCTTATTTTGTGATTGTTCATTACAATGAAAAGAATGTATATTTCAAATTTTGGATCAAATAAATGGCCATAAGATGACTTTTTAAAGTTATTGTATCATATTTTATACAACGGTTGCATGAAGTCATTACCCCTTTGTGAT